GTCGTCTCCCAATCGACACACGCATCCGTAATGCTCACGCCCCACTTGAGCTCCTGCGGGCCCGCCTCCGGCACATCCTGGCGCCCGGCATTAATATGCGACTCAATCATGACGCCCGTGATATGGCGCTCGCCCGCCGCGAGCTGCGCACAGATATCGCGCACGACGAGCGGCTGGTTGTTGTGGTTCTTCGACGAGTTGCCGTGGCTGCAGTCGACCATGATGCTCGCCCACCCCTCGATCCCCGGGGCGCTGCGCTTCTTGATGATGACCTGCGCGGCAGCCTTGACGTGTTCGCTGCTGTAGTTGGGTCCCTTGGTGCCGCCGCGCAGGATGACGTGCACGTCTTTGTTTCCGCGCGTCTTGACGATGGCGGCGAGCCCCGTGTCGGTGACGCCCATGAAGGCGTGCGGGTTCGAGGCGGAGGACATGGCGTCGATAGCGACGGAGACGCTGTGCGTAGAAGGGGAAGGGTCAGATTTGAGGTTACGATGTAGAGATGGTGATAGGATGGGTGGTGTTTGAAAGTGGGTTTGTCAAGCCAAATCCGAGTCCAAATTGCAAAAGGGTTTAAATGGTTGAGTGAATGAAACCAAAACATGCCCAGAAGCCCCAGCACAACGAACGCAACAGGATGGACGAACAACGCCGAAAACTCACCTTCCGTCAGTGCCATTCTTGAACCCAATCGGGAACGAGGTGCCGGACGCGAGCTCACGGTGAAGCTGTGACTCTGTGGTGCGCGCACCGATGGCGCCCCAGGACATCACTGATGGAGAGAGCGTGTGAGTACATAGCACAAGGCCAAGGAAAGAGGATAGCAGAGGCCAAGGAAAGAAGACAGGGAGTAGAGGGTATACCGAGGAGAACGGCAGATACAGGGGAGATGGTGAGGGGGGGAAGGCGGAGGGGGAGGAGTATGGAAATGGGAAAGGAGAGGGGAACAAGAGAGGCGCGAAATTTCATTAAGACAAGGAGAGATAGAAAGGCGAATTGGGCAAACGTCAAAACGTCAAAACGAAACGCAATGTATCCAAACCAGGACGCCAAAACGCGACGCAGCGTAAAAAACGAGACTCACTATCAGCGATATACTGGGGCGAGATGGTGTCGAGTAGCTCGGAGCCGACGGGGACACCGAGGTCGGTGAGGTCGACGAGGAGCTGGCGGGCGATGCGGAGGCCCTTGTTTATCTTGAAGGAGCCGTCGATATCGGGGTCGTTGATTAGGCCTTTCCAGCCAACGGTGGTGCGAGGTTTCTACGAACAGTATGAGTCAGATCACCGATCGGATAAATGTCGGATAAAGTAAGAAGGCGGGAGAAGGATGGCGATGGCGATGAGATGCCTACCTCACTAGAGCACGTAAAGAGCAGCGATTAGTGGGCAGTCATCAAAGAGAAAGAGGGGGGACGTACAAGTACGCGCGCATGATGATAAGGAGGTTGGGCCAGTCTTGGAGTTTTGCTTTGAGGAGATTTGCATAGGCAAGCGCCTGTTCAGGCGAGTGGATCGAGCATGGGCCGACGACAACGAGGAGGCGGTCGTCGTGGCCGGCGACGATGCGCGCGGCATTGTAGCGCGCAGAGGCGATGGTCTTTTGAGAGTTTGGCGTGGAGACAATCTCGTGGCGCAGGAGGGCGGGCTGGACTAGCGGGTCATACTGCAAGCCGGTGTCAGCTGGGGGACGAAGAGGAGCAAGGGGAGACGCACGCCGATGACGCGCCGGTCCTGGATATATTGCTGGACTTTTTCGGCGTCCTCAAAGTCGGGAAAGGGCGAGACGTTGTACATGTCGGGCTCGGCGGGGACGGCTGGACGCGAACGCGGGTGAGTTTTGGGGTGTGGAGATGGGGGAGAGGTGATTTACGAAATCGAAATGCGCGTGCAGGGGGTGCTTTTATAGCCATGATTAATCTTTTTTTGTGATTCGAGTCAGATTCCAGAAGGACGAACTGGGCGAACGTGCGAGCAGGGATTCAGGGCGGATGAACAGGTCGAATGAAGGCCGGATTAGAACGCACCTGTGCTAGTCTGACGTTTTACCGAGTAGTGGTACGTATCAACCTCCGATGCACATTGCAGATTCAAGATGAAAATCCCTACACGTGACGCACGCGCTGCGAGGTCGTGTCTGTCTCTGCTCTTGGGACAATTAGACTAAGAATACGACCTCTTTACTCACCGCACTTCTGCTTCTTGCGTCAGACGATGTCATCGTTAGGTCAGGTTATCACCCCCACTGAACCTGAATCCCTGACTTATCGTCGTCAAGCGCATCATTCCCCCTGCCAGAAATCTCGAAATATGTATACACGCACGTATTAAACCATCCCGCTTCGGCATCATCTAGTACCCGACAAGCCTGGGCCAACTCCAACAGTAGTCAGCCATCTCAATCGCTCCACTGACGCTCATCCACCTCCTCAAAGGCCAGTGCGTGGTGCCTCTCGAGTCTTCATGCCAAGCCTGCTGAACTTCTTCCAGTCATCCCGTACCTCTACTTGTGTGAACTGAACAATATAGAGCTAAATTTGACCACTCACACACCACCAGCGAGTCGCTCTATGAACAAAGCCCTGAGTGGATCGCTAACGACCTCGTCTTCCTCCTATCGCACACCCGTTCACACCAAGCACAATTTCCGCAGGCTTCGAATGACTCTCCATCAACCTTCGCACGCAATATTCCACTCAAGCACGTACGTCGCGCGCGCCGCCGACCAGCTGTTGTAGGGGTTGCGGAGGTGTGGCGAAACCGGTTTAAAGAGAGGCCGACGCGCTGTCTACGCGCTGATAAAAATAACGATAACGATAACGCAGCCGGCCGGCTCGCTGCAGAGCGCACAGCGCAGAGTAAAACCAAAGTAAAACAGTGGGAGAGCGGGAGTATCTATGAAGCTGGTCTCGAGCGCCTGTGCCAGTGGAAGACCGCGCGATGACACCCGTGGTACTCCAAGAGAGATGCCGAGATGCTTGCCTGTCTTGACCTGACTGATACTGTATTAGCAGAGTGCGGACACCGTGTCACCTCACCACGAATTTTCTCAAACAAATCATACCGCAAAATGCTCCGCCGGCGCGCGCTTCCGCTCGAAACTCAACTCAAAACGCTTCTTCTCGAGATCTGTGATGAGGGATTCACAAGGCCCAGGGTCAAGGTACAATTATCACACAGGCAATACGACGGGGATCCCAGGTACTTATGCGTTGTACTCTATACAATCCCGAGGCCCGGATTCATCAAGCGATCCGTGGCCACCTCAAGGTTGGGGGTTGTGTTTCCCAAGCTAGTGGCGCACCTCCGGGCATGGCATACATACATAGGCGGCAACTGCAAGCGGCCAAGTCAGGACAGACAATTTCAGCAGGCTGGTTGAGAGCGCCATTCAGTCGCCAACAGCTTATAATCTTATGAACTTGAAGACTTGGTGGCACTACATAGCTAGTGATGCGCTAGGTTCGGGTCTGAAGCCAGCCGTGGTGAGCTGTGGCACAGACTGCGATCGTTTACGGCTCAGGATTCAAGCTTCATGTCCAACTCTGCGCTCTGTGCTCTGCTCCGAGCAGACCGCAAGCTGATTCTTATTCTTACTTTTATATCTATCAGTGCCAACACACCGGTCACTGCGCCTCGGCCCCGCGTTTCGCAGCATGCACCACGATCTGCGGATGCTCCCGTTTCGCGGCACGCACCACGGTCCACGGATGCTCGGAGCTCCTGCTCCCCTCCCCCTCCGAGCCGCGGTGCTGTTTTGCGGGATGCGAAACGAAACGTTAGATGCAAGATACACGCCGTCCTTCAAGCTTCTTCAACAATGGCTCGCCTGCGCGATGGATGTATCACGCTGGTCTCGAGTGCCCAATACCCATAGAAGACTGTAGCGACGACACCAGTGACCCTGCTATCGGACATACCGACATCCTAGCACGTCTCAACTAATTGTCCTAATTGATACTGGACTCTGGACACACGTTACCACGCATCCGCTCCAACAAATCCTACTGCAGTCTGCAAAAGGCTCTCCATGTTGCCTCCACGGAACTTGATCCTCATCTACCGTGCTCTCCCACTCGAAACTCAAAAGTGCCGCCAGACTGTATCGTGATTCATGTACACTTCTAGAGATCTGCGAGGACAGAGGGGATACCAGATATGTGTTGCACCCCATACTTGAATCCAGAGGCCTGAATTCATCAAGTGATGTGTGCTGCTGCCTGGAGGCTGAGGGTTTGTATTTCCCAAGCCAGTGGTGGTGCACTTCCAGGTACATACATATGCTGCTTGATATACCTTTGATCTCACTCCAGATTCTCTTGACCAGGATGATATCACAGCTTAAGTTCTTCACTCAAGGTGAAGCTTATATCCTTTGGGGTGTGGGTGCATCACAGAATTGAGGAAACTCTGGTATATATTATAACACTAGATAAAGGTGTGTGAACACCTTGTAATAAATTATCAGATCTTATCAGACCTTCACCGACCTTTATATAGCAATATCACGATCCTCACAATTTCCTGATGTGCATGAGTGATTTTGGTAGGCTTGGACTGTTTTGTGATCCCACCAATTTCCCTACCTTGGACCCAATTGACCTTCACACAAACCCACCACTCGCAACCCTCAGCTGTCCACACAAGCACTGCTTGTTGGCAACATGCCATCACCTGAGGCCTGACTCATGTTGTTGGTGCCAATCTCTGAAACACTATGTGTGACCCAGTAAGTGGATGTTGTCAGGCATGTATAAAATCATCTTTTGCACATTTACAAATTCTCTAATGTTGATTTTTACAATAACTGGTCTTGTCTCTGTTTTCTATACTTGTCTCCATTAATCTATCTATTTTTCTCATTTATCTACATGTATGCCTCTGGAAAGTCCACTTTGCAACCTCATTTGTGACCACCTGTCTCATTCTGCTTAGGTGCTATTGTGCTATGCTACTCTGTGTGTGATCAAGCCCCTTGACCTTTGGGCTCTTCTAGGGAAAAAAGGGCTCAGCTGGGAGTTGAACCCAGGACCTCCTGCAATTGAGTAACAGACCCAAAGCAGGAATCATGCTACTAGACCACTAAGCCACTTTTAGTCTGCCATAATCCTGGAGCCTACTAATATTTGGTGAGGAAACACAGATTAGAAATACAGAAGTATTGCACAAAAATATTTGGCTTGAATCTCAACATCTTACTCAGCCAATTTGTAATATCTGAAATACTATGCAAAAATATACCTTCCTAGCTGTAATTATGTATAGCCCTAATCAAGAAATTTTTCAAACTCTGTCTTTTGTTACAGTTTTTCCTCTTTTCCCCTTTAGTCCGGACTTCTGACAGGTGTCATACACACAGTCTGACACCTGTCCCCCTTTCTGTACATCAAGGACTCTTATCTTTTCTTGCACTTCTACCTGGGTCTGCCTCATGCCCACCTTATCCACCAATCATATACCAGTCTTACTCACCCTATTCATTTGCTTATCTATTGTTGCTTACTCTACCCTATGGCCAGTTCACTATATATACCATAGCATAGACTGTCAAGGCTCCTCAGCTTGACCTAGGCAAT